GGCTCTCCTGCGACTGGCGCTCTCAACAGACAGAGGCTGGGAAGATACTAGGGAAAAACAAGTTTTTCCAAACATTCTAAAGAAATCTCTCCCTTTCTCCTGAATTTTAATCAAACAAATCAGATAGTTTCTACAAAATTGATTTTTTTGCCAAGGGGAATACTCTCTATTTGCATTTTCCTTCACCATTTTCCATCCCCCATTGCTCCTTCTACTTGTTCCTCAAGCAAGCAGTGCTGCCAGACCATACAGGCTGATTCCCCAGAGGAATGTACAACTCACACTGAATCCATCGTTTCACCTGACACCAGTCAAAGAAATGTTCTGATTCAGCAAACACGTGCAGATAGACCTCCTCCGTGACAGGCATGCATAAATCTGGCTTCACAGCACCGTGTGCTCTAGCAATACCCAGTTCACCACACAGGTTTCATTGTGCACAAATATTAGATCTTTCAGGGACCAAACAGTTACTACAATATACAAATATAAATTCTGGACTAGTTTTCAAACTTCTCTGATCTGTGGCTTTCTCAAGTTTCTGGCATACAAGGATCCCACTTGAAAGACTGAATGTAAAGCAGATGTGGACTTGCTTTTCATAGAATCACAGAACGGTTTGGGTTGGAAGGGACCTTAAAGACCATCCCTTTCTACCCCTCTGCCATGGGCAGGGACACCTTCCACTAGGTCAGGTTGCTTCAAGCCTCATCCAGCCTGGCCTTGAAAGATTTTCACTGACATGGAATGCTACAAACACATCGATAAGCTCCAAAGGTTGGAAGCTGTTGAGCAAAATGCCTTTCCATTTGATTTGGTCCTTAACAAAGCAGCCACCTGCCCCTTTTTAAAGGAAGATATTAGGTTTAATTGACTGGGTCTGAGTGTCTCTGGAAGGTTTCTCAACAGATTGTCTCACTGATGCTGGGGAAGGTGTGCACACTTCCAAGAAGAACTTTTGCCCTGACTCTTTGCTAAATGGAGTCAACTCCCATGGCCCATGCTCACCTGCTCCTTCTTTTGGGGAATGTGCTTTAAGAAAAGGGTTGCAAAGACTATTGAATTTGGGTGGGAAGCAATGGTAAAATCATCTCAGCCCCATGTTGGATACTGCTTGTCTGAGCAGTTTGGTTTCTATGGTGTTTAGGGAATTTGTGCTCTTCTGTTTCACACTAACATTGTGCATGATTAGGGGAGCTGGCGCACAATGTTTACTCCTCTTCCAGTTCCATGCCAGTCAAGTTACCAATCTCTCAAAATTCAAAAAAATAAAAGCAAGGATCATTACAGCATAAAAGGAAAGGCCTATTTCATAGAAACTGCTCTGATGCTTTAAGAGGTCTCAGGTCCTACACAATGCCCAGGTGAAAATCTCAATTTTGCTGTCATATACTTCCAGCATCTTTTAAAGATGCTTGGTAGGTGTTTCCGTAAAGAAGTCTGCATGACAGTAAACCTCAGAGTTCCCTCTCATCAATTCCTCAGAGTGTGTCTGTGCTTTGCCCAGAGAAGCAAGAAGTCGTTTCCAAGGTGAACTGCAAAGCTTGCACCGAAAACAAAAAGCAGTGAGGAACAAGCAATAAATAGCAAAGTAAGTGGCAGCACTGATGCTAAGGGAGTTAGGTCTAGCTCAGCAGGAGTATCTACATATGGGGATAGCTCTGAACCCACTGGGAGTGTCATGCCAATTGGTAGCTTAATTGGGACTGACAAACATCATCTTGTTCCTAACCAAGTCAAAAAGATATTGATTGCAAAACTGAGTGGCTAAAGGTTATGAAAAAGGCTCGCAAAAGTGTCTGTGGCCTATTTAAAGAAATTTCTTGGGAATGTAAATATTTCTTTCCTTTAGCAGCCAAAGGAAGTCAGCACTTAAATCTGTTTGGCACTCCTGAAACTCCCTAAACCCCTTGGACCATCAGTGGCATTGGCTGGCAGTTGGAAACAGGACTCCAACTTCTAAAAAACTTGGTTGCTTTGGAAATTTTTATTCCCAAACTGTCTAAAGTCCTGTGGCTCTGCCTTGGGAAAGACTGGATGATTTGGCCACAGTGACCTAGCTGTGTAGACTTTCAGGTTCTGCAAGGCTGATGTTGTAAAACTCCTTTAATTTTGGGAGCAGGGCTGATTATGTCTTAGCAGGGAGATGTAGATGTTCGACTTACTCTAGAAAACATCATATATTTGTGTTATTAATGGTGAAAGAGTCACTAATCTCAACTTTGAAGCTGGTATCCCAGTGATAAATGCTCACATGTGGTGGGAAGGGTTAAGGCTGCAACTGTGCCTTTTCTCTAAAGCCTCAGTGCATATGGCCTTGTCCCCCACTGAGCATGGAGCAAGCACATACCTCCCAGAGGATTGGGATTTGGAAAGAGAAGCTTAAAATTCAGCTTTCATACCCAGTGTCCCCTCTTTCTGGTGCTGTAAAACATGACCGTTGGCTAGTCCCTCCAAGTCCTGCTGCAGTGCTTAAGGGATAGATGTATTATCCCTTCGTTCTGCTCTGGTCTACAAGTATTTCATTCTCACTTCTCACCCTGTAATACATAGACCTGGACTGCTCAACAGGAGTGGCTAGCTCTTTCTCTCCCAGATTTCTACAATCACAAACCTTATTGTTCCCATCCCTACACAATTAGGAGAGGAGGAATCACAGCACAAAATAATATTTGGCAGACAATGCAGTGAACTGGGGAGGGGTGTGTGTGGATGTACCTGTGACACTGCATGGACACTTTCTGATGGGTGGCTCACACTAAGAGGTTTGAAACACCCCAAACAGCATCAGAGCAATATGACTCTTTGCAAATATTCTTCCCCTTCCAGGAACACCCACGTCCCTCCACCTCCCACCCTCACTCCCCATCCCCCTATGAATAAGGATCTTCTCTCGCCTGCATTACCATTGCCACATCTGCTTGGAAGATCTGCTTGATGAATTTGTTTTTTGAGGAATGCACCAGCTGAATGATGTCTCCATGCAGCGTGTCCCTGTTTTTCTCCAAGAAACCTAGAGGAATAATGGGACAACACATAAATAGATAGATGACACAGTGCAACACAGAATCACAGAATGGTTTGGGTTGGAAGAGACTTTAAAACCCATCCAGTCCCACTCCCCTGCCATGGGCAGGGACACCTTCCACTAGACCAGGTTGCTCCAAACCCCGTCCAGCCTGGCCTTGAACACTTCCAGAGATGGAGCATCCACAGCTTCTCTGGGCAACCCATCCCAGTGCCTCACTACCCTCTCCAGGAAGCATTTCTTCCTGATGTTCAATCTCAATCTACTCTCTTTCAACTTAAACCCTTCTATTCGATTTAAACATGACCAGGATGCACCCTGCCAGCAGCCTCTGGGTTGCTGGACTATTGGCTGTTCTTGGGCAGGTAATGGGAGAAAAATTGGGAACAATAGAAGGAAGGCAGAGACTGCATCAAAGATGCAGGTGGTGCAAAGCACTGCAATTGACTAGCAAAAAGCACCAAATTTTGCAGCTCATGGGTACCACTAAAGGGCCAAGTCATTGCAGCCAGCAAAGGTAGTACACTGACACTGCTATGGGCTGCCATCCTGCTCTGCTCCAATGCAGCAGGGGCTCACCTTCCTCCAAGCATCCTAGCACACCTTCAGTGCCCCCGGAGCTTCCCCATACCTTTTGTTTCATAGTAAACAATTCCAGCAAAGTGGTTAATGCCAAACTGGGTTTCATAGTTGTTCTTCGGAGGAATATAGTTGGTGTTAAGCTTGTGCTGGGAGTTCAGCTTGTGTAACATGGTGGCATCGGTACCCTATGTACGCAGGAAAAGATCTGATGTTTAATCAGGCTTTGTCCCATTAAAATAATTTTGCAATCAATAACGCATTTATTTTTTTGTCTCATGCGACAATGTGTATTTATTTTGAGAAAAGATGTGGTGGAGGGGATATCTCAAATACAGAAATTAAAGAAATGGATGAAATATTGCTGGCATGTTGTGTTATATTCAAGATAGTACTCCAAAGGAAGTATATTTAATATTATTTTCCCTTAAACTTTGTCAAAGGCTATTTTTCAGCCTCTTGCAGGCATATTCTTCCGCCAGGAATGGTAACTAGTTTTAAGCATGGTTGTGGTACTCATGGAAGAAAAAGTATCAGAGCAACAAACACTATGAATTTGTAACCCACTGGTGAATGTGTGTTTGGGGCTGATCAGGCCTCTCGTAGGGTGCCAGCATGGAAAGGGGCTAAAAGCAGGAGGGTTACTGGCAGCAGGGCTGAGCCCAAAGCACACCTTGGGGAACTTGCTTTCCTCGTCAATGAGGGAGATGATGTTCATGGGTTTGATGGCAATCATGTCCAAGGCATCCTGGTTATCAGTAAACTCGATGTGCTGCCAGTTGATGTTCTCCAGGTTGTACTCCTCCTGCTCTAGTTTGAAGACGTGGCGCACGAAGAACTGCTGCAGGTTCTCATTTGCAAAGTTAATGCAAAGCTGCTCAAAACTGTGGAGGGAAGGTCAAGGAAAGGCCACTTTAGATCCACATGCTCTCTCCATCTCTCTCTGTGCTTTAAGCAGTACTCTCAGATCTCATCAACCACTCAATAAGGTTGCTGCTAGCTGAGAATTTCCTTATCAGTTCAGATAATCAGTTTTTCCTCCCCAAAACAATGTTATAGCCATTATATGTGTGTAGCCTAAGCCATCTGTTGGAAGTTATCTCCTATGGCTACTACGTGGGTAATTCTTGAACAACTAAAGGAAATATGTTTGCTGCAACACAAAAGTGATTAGTTTGAATAATCTCTAATAAATAAAAGATTCATCCAGTCTGGTTCTGTTCACCTCAGGAGAGGTGAAAGGTCTGTAAGACCTTGAGCTTGGGGTGGTGAAGGAGGGCTAAGACCTGGTTGCCCTTTTGCAGGCTCCATACCTGTTCACAGTGAAGTTCTCAAAGCCAAAGATATCAAGGAGGCCGATGGATCTCCTGACACTTTTGAGTTCCTGGGAAGGAGGTCTGTAAATTGCAGCATTAATCTTCTCCACGATCCACACGAAAAGCCGCCCATAAATTCCCTGTAATATCCCAAAGATGGAGCTCACTGAGACAGGTTAGCAGCTCACCCTGCTAGTCTGTAACACCATCCAGGTGGCACAGGCTCCTCTAAAGCATGGCCAGCAACAGGACACTCCCTGAGGACACTCTTACCAGCATTTATGCCAGAGTCTTGGCACAGTTTAAAGCTTCAAGAACCATTTTGTAGACTGAACAAAACAGACCTGAAAGCCTAGATAAAAGACAACTGAAAGCAGAATACCTAAATTTTGGATCTATGGGCTTGCTCCAAAGCCAGACAGGTCTTTCCTTGGTTTCTAAACTTCTACAGATCAGCAGAGCCGTGTTCCACATCTAGACAAGCCGAGGACATCTTGCCTGGGCAAGGTGTTGACTTAAATGTTGCAGCACTGGTTGGAGAGTTAGCTGATTTAATGAAGCAGCTATTGGTGCTTCAGGAATTCCAGAACTACAAGCTTGTCGTGGTTTAGCTCCAGCTAGCAAAATACCATGAAGCCACTCTCACAAATTCTCCCCTCCTCTCCTCCAGTGGAGGGGAAGAATCAGAAGAAAAAGAAATAAGGAAGCTCATAAATTTTAGATAAGAACTGTTTACTAATTGAATCTACATGAAGATATACAAATGCTACTAATAATAAATAATTAAAATAATAGAAAATAAAACATATGATACAATATGATACAATTATGATACAGTTTCTCAGCACCCACTGACCAGTGCACAACCAGGTGCTGAGAAGTGAGAGTCAGACGCAGAGAGCCCGAGGGCCAGAGCCCAAGAGCTGTCGCAGCAGATTCCAAACGAACTCTATCAGCGATAGCACGGCTGGGAAAACTGAACAAACCCACCAACTCCCTCACGAAGGAGCCAGCACAGGAGGTAGCAAAGCAGCTAACGCAGGAGTCAGGGAGAGAGTTAGCAAATGTCAGGAACTAAACGAGCAAGAGAGTAGGAGAGAGAGTAATGGCTCCAGACCCCCTCCTCACCTCTGCCCCCAGCATGATGTACTGTGGAATGAAATACTCCCTTGGTCAGTTTGGGTTAGCTGACTGAACTGTGTGTCCCAGCACTGCCTGCAGCGAGACAGCGAGAGCTGGGAACGCAGCTGCAGGGTCAGAAGTGGAGAAAGACCTTGAAACTGGTGCAGGCATTGCCCAGCGCCAGCTGAGACCTTATCAGTGTTGCTCTCTGCATCCAGGAACAGCTTCCTAACAGCCACGGTAAAGAGAGTTAACTCTTTCCTGACTGAACCCAGCACAATGTTTTGCAGTGTTACTTGTTTCTTTTGCATGAGCTACAGCAGCACGACAAGGATGGGAGCCTGATCCAAAAGCCCGTCACCACTGGAGAAGTCACCATCTGGATTTGCAAACCAGTTAGGTGTCGAGTCAGCTAGCCTTATTTACCTGTCCTCCACTGACAGCTTGGGGAGTCCACGTTGGCCAGAGTGCCCACCAAAGATCAGAGCTACATTTGCAGCAGATCACTGATGCTTGTTTTACAACCTTACATGGAGCTGCAAACAGCATAACAGTGTTGCACACCCACCTTACCAAGCTTCATCACCCCAAAGCCTCAGGTGATGCTCTCTGTAAGTGCTGAATTGCTCTATCCCTATTCCTGCTCTGTTTACTGATGCAGATATGCCCAAATCCTGAAATTCAGTGTGGGTGTTACATAGACCTGATGTATAGAAGCTGAGGTTCTAACCCTGGGATGTCATGTTCTAACATGCTGGAATGTTTTCCTGGAATTGCTGACTCCTCCACAGGTCATCTTTGAGTATAAGCCATCTCCCAAGTCCAGATTGCAAGCCCCTGAAGACCAGGCTATCTAGACTCCTTCATCCCCTGAAGACCAGGCTATTTAAACGTCTTCCATCTCAACTCTCTGTACATCCTGGCAAGAATATAGTTTCAAGGCCATCTGCTGATCTTGAGCTCACATGGGCACCGAACAAAACACTTTCCCTGTGCAGTGGATGCTCTAGTCTCAAAACTGGTGCATTTCTTTTATCAACTAGAAAGGAATGCCCTGAGATTTACCTTTACAAAAGCATCCCTCACATCCAGCGCTTGTTCCATGCTGAGAGGGGTGGATACGGTCTCACCCCTGGTGATTATGGTCCGGCTGGTAAGGCAATTCATTACGTCCTGAGGATCAACCTGGCAAAGATACCACCAAACACAGCTGTTGGCTTTACAACTCCAGGAGTTCTTACAATGGCCTGGGCTGCTGGCCTGAATGTGCATGCCCAGAGAGGAACAGTGCAGCCCCCATGGCTGGAGGTAAATGACTTCTCTTAGCTGTACAGGTTAAGTATCTCAAATACTTAATAATAAATAATTAACACTTTTATACAGTGTTTTACTATGGAGGTAAACTCTTTTAACTTAGTGTAAGATGTTAATGAGTTGTGGGGAAAGAAGACAA